TTGGTTGTGATTATAGCTCCCAATACAAAATAACAAGGTCAGAAGGAGAGGGAGCACAGAAAATGAGTATTGCTAAACAGGAAAGAGGGAAAAGCACTGCTTAAGTTTATCAAAACAGCATGTCTGATGCAAACAGTCTCTCTGTGCCCTATCAATCTCGAATCTGTGGGTGGTTCTTCTTCCTCTTCCAGTTCTGAAATGAGTGACCAGGGTTTAATCATTCTGCTTTAATTACAGGATGAAGGTGAAAATGCCCAATTCTTGGGTATGTCTGGAGTGTCAATGAGGCATTTCCTGTCCTTGTACCTTAGGTAAGAGATGGATGTGTTTGGCTAAATAAGCCCTAAATGTCCTGTGGTTGATGTCTGGGAAGGATTTTTATAAGGATTCAGGTGAGAGCAGAGACATCAAGGGATAAAAGCTCATTAGGCTCCCTGTGCTATTTTCTTAAACTAGATTACCACATGCAATGCCACAATACAGATGCCATATTGTGGAGTTAAGATAAAGTGAGGCAACAAAGTCCAAGAAGAAATGCAAACTTGCTTGATAGCATGAGTGTGCCTGCACAGAAGAGTTCTCCGAGCGAACAGCTGCTTGTATCTTAACTGAATACAGGCTACACAAAGCTGTCCTGTATTTTTATAACAGTGGATTCTTGCACTGAGGTCTTTCAATACTCCTCCTGATTTCATTTGTAAGACTAGGATAGCGACAGATAATGAAGAATACCTGTTGACTCAGAGCAATACTGAATGCTTACCAAGTTTTCAAGGCAAACATTTCCAAGCTTGTAGTACACAGAATGAGAGCTGGGCCACAGTTAAGGCATGGGAACTGGACTGTTGGTAGTAATGACAAAAAAAACACTTTGAAGACAGGGTAGAAAATTGGTTCAATATGAGTTTCCAGTTACAACACTGTGGCTATAGGAGTGAAGTGACTGACGGGTATATGATTGAAGAGATGACAGATCTCTGCCTGAGGCAGGAGTGAAGATCTAGCTCCACTGCAGTAGGAAGGCTCAGATGCTCGGTGGTCCATCATCACCTTCAGTGCAGGCAAGCAAGATTTTCAAGGTGTTCATAGGAAAGGCTGATACACTACGCCCTGGAAACTCAGGATGTAAAATCTGGTTTCTTCTCTTCACAGGGTTTCTTGCTTCCTGCTGAACTCAAATTTCACCAAGAGCTTGTCTGTTAGAGAGGCTATGGGCCACTGAATGAGTGGCTGGAACATGCTGCACTGACAGAAAGATTCCAGAGAAAGCTGGAGAGTACTGTTGCTTCAAAACTGTAGCAGCATGCTTATGTTAAAGGAAATAAATAGCTCTATCTCCCTGCAGTGTAGCAATTATTTTACCTTTGTATTTGGCACTGGTGTAGACACTGGAATACTACACGTCATTTTGGTTTAGCAATGCAGAAGAGTTACAGAAAAACTAGAAATCATCAGAATGGTTACTAGGAGGATGAATGGACTGGAAAAGTAACAGTTTATGAAGTTCAGGCTTGAAGATGAATGTAAGAGCAGTCTTGATCATGATGTATTAATACCTACACCAGACCAGAAATCTTCTAACAAAGGGATTTTCAATTTACCAGTCAATGATGTAAGAGGATTCAACGGATGGAAAACTGAAACTACAAAATTAGTACCACAAATAAGTCAAATTTGAATGAGAACAATTTGAACGAGAACAATTTGCAAATTATTTGGTGCATGCTTCATCACTGTTTATTTTTAATCGAAATTAAATGCTTTCTGAAGATATTGTTCTAGTTCTTACCCTAAATAGCTGATTGTGGTTTCAACATATAAACACATTTGTATTTTTCTGTTAAGCAAGAATGTTAACCTGCTATCGCTTAACTTGGTTTTGCTACTAAATTAGAAAACAAACCAGGCCCATAGTTCCTGTGGATGAGGAATTGCCTTTTAACTTTTTCTGCTTAAAACAAGGTTTACAAGTATAATTTATGCTCAGTGAACAAGGGATTTTCCTCTTTTATGAGCTGACAAAATGAACCACCTTGGATTGGAAGACATGAGGTTAAACATCAGTCTTTTTGACATAAAGTCAAACTGAATTTATGCTGAATAATTTGTTTGGAAATTAGATCCAATTATCTTAAATTGGTCATTCCAGACTAACAGAGCAATAAAGGGCACTGTGTTGATGTATTTGACCCTGCTGTCCCAGTCATGTCAAAACATGTATGCACTATAATTCCAGCTTAATTCATATCACACAGTGCCCTCCCAAATGCTGTGCTCAGAACAGATGATAAAAGGGCTGTCGGTATTACAAACATCAGAAGTCTTTCTGATCTAAAGCAGAAGATTACTTCTGAATTTTGAGTTGACAGAATATTATAAGTTGTTTTGACCTGTAGAGTATGACTGTCACCAAAATCAGTTTAGTCAGGTCTTTTTCTTAAGTGAGGGAGGGTTTAATTTTCAAATGTTGCCCAAAGAATTAAAGGAGAAAGACCACTAAGAAAAGGATGGAATTATTCTACAGTTCCAATCCTCAAGTAAACATAGAGCCAAAAGAAAGAAAAGATATGTAGCTCCTATTTTCTCAAGTTGTGCATTTTCCTTCAGATCAATAATGTAGGCATAGTCAAATTGATATGGAGCAACATGTGTTGCTGGAGAGCAAATGTCCTTGCATAAAGCTGCTTATGTGAGTGTTTCAGGAGTGGTGGCCCCCAGTACATTAGCACTGATATGATACAAGAAATCAAATATGAAAGTCCATATTTGATTCTTTGATTGACTTCTCTATACAACTTCAAACCTAAGAAGAATTTTAAAGGAGAAATAGAGATCTATACTCAATATCAGGCCACATCTTTTTTTAAAAATGTATTTTCTTATGTATATTAGTAATACTACTTTAACATCCTACATATTATTAGTATGACATCTTCAAAAGGCAGTTTCCATTCCATTACATTTGGAGGGGGGTTACATTTGACTTTTTTATTATTATTATTTGTGTTGCAAGCATTTTGCTGGAGTAATTATGCGCTTGTAGTTTTAAGAAAACATTTACAAAGAAATTTTTTATATTGGTTTCTAATGTAAAATCTACTTTTGAGAACCTAATCTGGAGGTATGTTTGTCTGTTTGTGAAGAGAGAGGTAACACGGGTAAGTGAAACAAAAGCAGAGAGGAAAAAAAACTGAACAAAACAGAATAAACCAAATATCAGCCTAGACATATGTTTTGGGATCATAGCATAATCTGGAGCTGTAAATCATAAATTGTCAGCAATAATCTTGTGTGTACTGAGGGTGCGTGAAGCAAATGAGAAAACTCACTAAGCCTGAGTATGGAAATTTACTAAAGCACCTGAGGTGTGCAAAGAGCATAGTCACCACATTTCAGTGTACCACTCTTTCAGACTTTTTCATTCCAAAGAGTATTGCAACTCCTGTGAACTTTCATTTGGCAACACGGGGGTATGCTAGAAAGCAGAAATGTTCAGTGTTTATCTGCATCACTGGATTTATTGGAACAGCCATTTCTCTGGATCGTGCCATTACATATTTCGTAATTTCCTGATTATGTCACAGAGCAACAAGAAATAAGTATCTTTTAGGATATCTTTAGGAGTAGCGAAGTATGTTGCAAATCAGTACGATAAAGATAGGAAGAATGACCACTGAACAGCTCTGTTCCGTCATTCAGAGGCAGTGTGAGAGCAGGCAGAAGCGTGCACCCCCGCAGAGTGTGGAGAGCCATGTGAGTGATGACAGTCTGTGTCACAGCTTGGGCCCCCATCCTCCCAGGTGCTCTCCTTGCCACGAGTTCACTGGAAGCAGCCATTAACTAGCACCTCCTGGAGCTATTGCCCTTTACCCCAGGCTACCTGAGCTCCATTCTGGGGAGTGCTATAGCTATGCAACGCCAAGGATACAATGCAGTGGAGGGGGAACTCTGTGAGCACTGCCAATGCTGTGACTTATGTCTGTGAGGCTTCACCACCCCTCCCACCTGGTATGCTGGCCTGTTGGCACTCTGCTGCTCAGCCACGTGGCACTGCTACTACTTTCATGAACTTTCTTCTCTGTTTTAACAAAAACCAAACCAAACAAACCAAGAAACAACCAAGAAAAGCTGCGAAACCAGGAAAAGCCTTGCATGCTTTGCAAGAGAGGCGATGCACCACACAATGCATGGGGCTCAACTCAGTCAGGAGCAGGGCCAGGTGGCTGCTCATCCCAGTGCTTCGGTGGGACAGAGGGCTCAGGGCTCCACTGCTGCCAGGCCACCACCCTCCACAGGTGACCACCACTGAGGGCTTCCCAGCTGTAGTGTGTCACCGGACACAGGCCCAGGTTACACTGGCCTGTTCTGGGCTCCTCAGAATGAGACGTGAAGCTCCGGGAGCGGGTCCAGCAGAGAGCAAGAAGAGTGATTGAAGAACTGAACATTTCTCTTACAAGGAAATGCTGAGGGAGCTGGGCCAGTACACCCTTGAGAAGAGATGGCTGAGAGTGACATCATTAATGACTGCAACTGTCTGAAGGGAGAGTGTCCAGAAGCTGGATCCAGGCTCTTCTCAGTGGTGCCAAGCAATAAGACAAGAGGCAACGGGCAGAAATTGATACACAGGAACTTCTTTACTGCGTGGGTGAGTGTGCACTGGAACAGATTGTCCAGAGAGGTTGTGGAGTCTCCCTCATCGAAGATATTCCAGAACTACCTGTATGCAATCCTTTGCCCTGTGGTCTAGGATGACCCTGCTTGAGCAGGGAGGTTGGACCAGATGTCCCACTGTGGTCCCTTCCCGCCTGACCCACCCTGTGGCTGTGTGACGCAGACGCAGCCACCGCCGTGCCCCGGCCGGGCCGCAGGGCGGGCGGTGCCGCGGCCCCGCACCCACGTGAGCGCGGGGGCCGCCCCGCCGCGCCGGGCGGGGGCCGGGCCGCGGTTTGACCCTGTTCCGTGCCCGTACGGCGCGGCTGCGCGGCGGGCACAGCGCGGCCATGGAGCGCAGCGGAGACACGGCCGTGTGGCGGCTCCGCGCCACCGCCGCACAGCGCGACCGCCGCCAGCCGCCGCCGCGGGAGGACGGGGAGCGCGGGGCGGGCGGCAAGAAGCGGGGCGGGCCGCGGCGGCGGCCGCTGCTGCCGCTGCCCGAGGCGCGGGGGGCGCCGCTGGTTCTGCTGTACCTGCTGGTGCTGCGGGCGCTGGCGCAGGTGTCGCACCGGCAGCTCCTGAGCAGCCCGCCCGCCGCCGCCGGGCCCCGCGACTTCAGCGCCGCCCGCGCCAGGTACGGCGGAGCCGCCGGCGGGAGGAGGAGAGGGCGGCGGGGCTGGGTCGGGTCCCTGTCGGGGGGGGTCGTGTCGTGCTCTGCCCGGGAGAGAGCTCGAAGCTCGGTTGAGCGCTCGCAGAAAGGTGCAGACAGCGTGGAGGCTTCAGCCCCCGTAAAGGTGCTGGCTGGCGCTGATAAGCAGTGCGTCCCCCATACTTTATTTCTGGTAGTCTTGAGTAGTGCGCGGTTTCTGGGAAAGCTGCTTTGCAGATCTTTAGTTGGTGTGTCACCGAGACGCCGGGAACTATAAAACTTTCTAACACTGTAATTTCAGAATTAGAGTGTTTATGTCAGATGTAAGTCTTAACGAAAACGTGCTTATTCGGACGTTGGGGGAAGGGCATGTATGCATATGCAGAACCACGCTAAAGTCTTTGGCTTCTCATTTACCCTTTTGTTTCTTTTTGGGTTGATATGTTCAAACCAGAAAACAAATAGTTTGGTTTAATATCGTGATAGATAAGATAAGGAGCCCTGAGTAAAGGTCAGTCTGTATGCCCATTACCATAGTGATCCTGAACATCCTGGCTAGTTACTGTCGAATTGGCTTTAGTCTCTTCTGCTTGAGTTTTGAAATAGAATAATGTACAAAAATGCTGCAGTTGTAGATAACATTACTAAATGTTGAACTTGTTGATGCTGAATTTTTAATTTATGTCTTACAGGGAATACCTTGACAACATAACAGCAATTGGGCCCAGAACAGTTGGAAGTCCAGAAAATGAAGTTCTTGCAGTTAACTACCTCTTAGAACAAATTAGGGGGATAGCAGGAGAAAGTACAGATGCTCACAAAATATCTGTAGACATACAGAGGCCCACAGGCTCCTTCAGCATTGACTTTTTAGGAGGCTTTACTAGTTACTATGCAAACATAACCAATGTTATAGTGAAGCTGGAACCTCGAAGTGGAGCTGAGCATGCAGTATTATCCAATTGCCACTTTGATTCTGTACCAAATACCCCTGGTAGGTCCACGTGTTCATTCTGCTTTTCCATGTGTTACGTGAGCCACAGAGCTTGGCTTGTTTTCTCATACCAAGTAGCTGTATTAGAATACTGCATGTGTCAACTGGTCTACTTGATCTCAGTGAGGCTCGTTTTTTAGAGTGACAGGTTGATCCTGTTTAACTCAGGATTTCACTCTCACTTTCTGTTAGGCAGCAAATTAGAGATGCTGTATTTAGATTTCTCTGCTTATGCATGTAGTTCATATGCTGCTTCCACCTGTCATTCAGGTCTTTTCATACTTCTGTACTGATCTAATCCTGTCTTTCACATGATGCTTTGTGCCAGTGACTCTGTCCACCCCCACTAAAAAGTCCATATTTTCCCCTCCCATTGCTGGTGTCTCAGATTTTTTGTCTGATATGCTTAAGCTATGCCAATTTTTTTCCTTTTCTTTTGGCATTCAAAGCTTCTACCTCTAAAGACTGTAGTGATCAAAGGTTAGGGTACTGTTGCCTTGGTAGTGTGTACATCTCTCGCTACTAGTTTCACTGTCACTGTTGCATCCTCTCTTACTTTCCTTCCTCTAGATTCTTATATATTATAATCCTGTTGAATAATTATTTCAGCAAGGGTGTAGCGAGCTTTGTATGTTCGTGCTTTTAACAGTGCCAGAAAGGTAGAGATCTAAAGATTGCACAAAGTTTATTGTAACACTCAGCCACACATGTGTGCCTATTATTACAGTCGAAAAACACCCACAGATCTCACCAACAGTGCAGCTTTTACTGGAGTTTCTTAATTTATACCCCACATAATATTTTATTTTTGGGCGGTAGACCTTCTGTTCTTTAGCACATGCAAATAGTCTTCATTATTGAGAAAACAGTTGAGTATTAGCTAGAGAAACAAAGCATTTGCTGTACTCCTCCTGCGTTTTTTCTCTCAACAAATAATATACAGAACTTCTTTTTCTCCTCAACCACATTTGGGTGACATGAGTTTTCAAATTAAGCCTAATAACCGCATGATTATTATACGTGCTCTGTGATTTATAAATTGCAGAGATACTAATTACGGGATGTGGAACTTGGAAAGAATATTTCACAAGTATAATACTGTGATTATTGAAAACGGTCTTTAAATTCATGCCCTGTGTAAATCGTGTGTCCATTTCTATGGGTTGTAAGGCAGGATTATGTCTGCATCAATTATTTTCTTAACAGTTTCTCAGACAGTAAAGTACTTCACCAACCTTGCACAGAAGCACCAGAAAATATTACTGATTTGTATAGGATTTTACAGAAATCTGTGGAGGAGCTAGAAACCAGCCTGTGTGCTTGCCCTTAATCACAAAGCAGCCTAGCCCTTTACAACAGTGAGGAGCTGCTCTATCTTTCATTTTCTTACTGTGTCCCTTGCACATAACCTAAGCAAGGTTTTCTATTGTTTTCTCTTTGTTTTCTATTCTTCTGTATTTCTCTTAGTTATTTGCTTACAGGCCATTTTTCTTTACCAAAACTGTGGATTTTTACCCAGAAGCAGCATTACTTAGTGGTCAGTTAATACTATATTTGAAAATCAGATTGTAAAATATAATCTGCTGCATACCAAATGAGTGAAACAAAACTAAGTAAACCATCAGTGTTAGAAATCTTGTGTTCCTTGTGAAGGAAAAACGTAAACTCTTAAGTTTTTGTTTTAGTGGTACTAATTTTCAGTTTATATGGGCTATTTGTTTCTTTTTTAATAAACTTGAAGACAGAAACATCCCTGAAATTATCATTCCAGACATAACTGATGATGTTCTTTTCTCAAGTTGCTGATTTCTGCCATAAAACCTGTTTTAACCTCCTGTCAGTTTTGCTATATACAGAGTATTTGGAGAAGATACTTTCTCCATGAGTTTGTGTAATAGTCTATGGCTACATGGCTGCTTTTATCAGACATAAATTTGTATGTCTGTTGAAGCCAGCAACTTTTATTTTTCATAGCTTCACAGTGAGGCAGGTAAATGACGTGGAAACTATACTCACTTCTCTCCCAGTTTTTCAATACAGTATGTTAGGTATAAGAACTCAGTGTGGCTAAGAGTAGACTACTGATAAACTTGGGTAGCAATATAAAGGTCCCTTCCAACTGAGAATATTCTGTGAAATTAAGGAAAATCTGTGATAATCAGGGCTTTAAACCAGGTATTGGGATTGGAGTCTTTTTGGAAAGCTTTTGGCAGAACAAGGCATTAGTTTCTGAGAAATAGAGAATGGTGTATTGGAAAGATTCTGAATTTTTTTTAATCCATGCAATAAGCTCAGGTTAAAATTTAGACTGAGATTTATGTTTGTATCAGGAATATACCCTTTTCATGGAAGGGGCAAATGTGTCTAAGTTTTACAAGCTTTTGTTAAAGGTGCCTTTTTTTTTTTTTAAAATGTGTAAATTGAACATTTTTAGGAGCTAACAAGTGTGCCCTAATAGCATGCTGAGGCCTGACCACACTGTTGTTGTCATCTCAGAGCATGTCAGCATCATATATGCAACTGAGGCCTGAAGGAATGAGGTTTAATTTCTCTGTTTTCTCCCAAAATTTTTTTTATTAGAGTGGGGTAGGGAGGTGCTGCAGCTTACACCAAAGTGAGGAAAGTGGGAAAATGGGAGACTTTGGCTAGAAGATGAATCCTTAATCAAGATTTAAAAAAATGGCAGAGCATGGGAGGAGGTGTGAGAGAGTGGGAGTAAGTCTAGAATAGTGTTAGATGAGGAACTCAAAGAGGACAGATTACTGAGCTCAGAGTGAAAGGGGTTTCTGCAAAGAAAGAAGGATGGTGAAAAGCATCTGGTCATGAAAATCTTTTATTATCATGTGTAATTAAGTTGTAAATTCTTGTATTTCCTTAGCTCTATTTTGAAATCTTAGCTTTATGTTATTTTGAGGTTTTGTCCTCTTACTTGAATGCATTATAACACTATAGAATGCTTTAGGGTGACTTATGTGGGAATGTTTATTTTTTAAAGTTTGAGTATGTTGTTAGTATAAATTACATTCTTGTTTATTCATATTGTTCTTAGGAAAATAAGTAACAATCATTTTGCTCACTAACCAGTAACCTGGTTAGTCTACTTTTCTTGAACAATGTCATTGGATCTGATATTTTGAACTTCACTTGCTCTACTTCTGAACATTATTTTTCTTTCTGCTGTTACTTTCAACTAGTATAAACAGAATAGTTTATGTAAGTATAAGCACTACCAGAAAATACATGAAACTTGACATAATTTTACTGCAGTTAGGTTAAGTGATTGAAATAGCATAAAACTTTATTCTTCTCTTGTTTTTGATGCAAATCTGTTTGTTATAAGCTTTACTATTTTGGTGATTGTTTTAAGGTGCCAGTGATGATGCTGTTAGCTGTGCAGTGATGCTTGAAATACTTAGCACACTTTCAAAATCATCAGAGTCCCTGCAGCATGCTGTCATATTCTTATTTAATGGTGCAGAAGAAAATATTTTGCAGGTGAGAATATGTCAGAATTATAAATTACACATAAAAGCTGTGTATTAAAACTCTTAACAAAGGAAAGAGTAACTGCAGATAAGGCTTGTGTTTGACCTATTGAAATATTAGTTGAATAGCAGTCTTAACATTCTCAGGAAAATGTGTATGATTTCAACGGGAAAAGTACACTTAGATTAAGAATGTTGTCTACATTAATTTAATTAGAAGACTTGGATTTTCTGCATCTGCTTGTGTTGTCTGCCTTGTCAAATCTTGAGTTATTTCTTCAGTCATATCCAATCTTGAGTGATGGAAAGTAAGATTTAGGCTGGTCTCGTAGATATTTGACCTATATTTTTTTTGTTTTCCCATCAAGGCTAGTCATGGCTTCATTACGCAACATGAGTGGGCCAAGTCAATCAGAGCTTTTATTAACCTGGAGGCAGCAGGTGTAGGAGGAAAAGAACTTGTTTTTCAAACAGGTATGAGCTTGCATTGTGTCCAGTTTCTACATAAGGATAATTTGATAATAAACAATGTAGACTTGAAGGAATATTGAAAGTGACTCATCAGCAAAAGATAGGAGAACCTCACGCATTTTTCCCAACCCTGTGCAGCAATTAAATTGCTCTTAGCTTTAGATACTGGTAGGCTAAAGGACTGCGACAAAAGTTGCCTCATAGGTGGGAAGCTTGTGTAGAACAGAGTAACGGAAGTTGTGTTTTCATTTTATGTCAAGGTTACAAGGAGAAAAACGTTTGGATACCACCTATGTCTTACATACACATTCTTTCATATGCTCTATTTATTTTTCACAGCAGTTCTTTCAAAATCTTTGCAGGGAGATGTTGCCATTAGAGCTCTATCTGCTGCTCAGGAAGCAGCAAAACCGTGTTTTGTAGGCTACGGTTAAACTTGTGCCCCATCCTGGTCAGACTGCAGACTTTCCTGTGCTGCTGGAGCTGCTTAGTTGTTTCTTTGTACTTAATGCTTTAAGGCAGATACTTTTTTCTAAACAATGATATTGATGTGTGATACAGACACGATGAATTGGAAGCTCAGCTAAAGGTTTTGACTTCTTTGTGAGAAAGAAGTTCTGTTTTGGGAGATGGCTTTCCTGCTCTGCCTCTTAAACATAAGGCAACAGTGGCTTGTTTCTTACTCCTCAAGTGTATTTCTCTCAAGTGTGAGTCACTCAGCCAACACAAATGTACTTATTTTATACCCTATGGGGCAACAGCTTTACAACTGCAGTGAGTTCCTTTGTGTTCTGTATTTGTTACCGTGAAGATGCGTACCTTAACTGACATTCAAGAAGTGTTTACTGTGAACTTTCTGCTCATCTTTTGTTAGGACCTGAGAACCCTTGGTTGGTACATGCATACGTAGTTGCAGCCAAACATCCCTTTGCCTCTGTGGTGGCACAGGAAATATTTCAGAGTGGTATTATCCCAGCGGATACAGACTTCCGTATCTATAGGGATTTTGGCAATGTTCCAGGTATGTTATCATGAAAGATGTCAATGCACATTAAGCTTATGAAAAGGATACTGTTCTGTGGTTCACTGTGTGAAGGTCCTCAAATTTAGTTTGTCTGGGGCCAAATTTTCCTGCTTTTTTCCTAAGGCAAGAGTTTTTAGATTTAGTTTTTCATATGGTTTGCTAGGGATGTTTTTTGAGGACTGGTGTTTTCTAGAAAGAAACTACATGGTAGAAAAGTTTCCTGAAAATCAGGAAGATACTCCAGAAATCAACAGCACCCTGTTAAATATCTGTTTTGAAACATTTTGGTACATGATGCTAATAACCTCTTTGTAGGAATGACATGTCTGTATCAAATGGATAAATGAAAATCATCTTTTTTAAAGATAGTGACTTAGTCATTAATGCATTTCCATTACTCTTGGGTTTTGGGGTTTGTTTGTTTTTTGTGTTTTTTTTTTTAATAATCAAGCACTGGACAGAAGTCTTTTAGTTTTGCTAAGCTGTTTACAGTTTGCTATCCATTCTGCAGAGAACGACCAGTGGGAAAAAATGTGAAATGTTCACACAATGTGAAATATGAACACAACTCAAAGGACTGTAAACTTCTGTAAAATCCTTGTTGTCTGGGACAGGTTGTCATTGGAGTCACTTTCAAGAAAAGTGATATTTCTGAATTGATTGTTAGAACAAAACTGTTGTTCTGGCATATTCTAAACTCTTCTAAAGTATGCTTCCAGCCTGGAAATAAAGTAGATAATTTTGTACAGTGTTTTCTTTATTTGTTCAGAATGATACCTGGATGGTAAATGAATTCTCACTGACCTCTGGTTTGTTTTTTTTTTTCCCACAATGAAATAAAAATTAAATAATTGAGTTAAAGAACTAGTTGTTTCCTGTTTGTCCACGAGTAGAATAGAGGTCTAACTTGTCAAACCTCTACAAAATTGTGAGGATTCAGATTGCAGTTAGCAGCTTTTTGCATGTGCAGCTGAGAAGGTGATTGGGATACAGTGAATGTATGACTAATCTAGCAGAATAACCTTTGGCTTTTGGTAAAGGTTTTTGTTCACTTCAACAAATTATTTGGACTTTCAAAATAAAAGTTTTCAGACTGGCTCTCTGAAAACCTGTTAGCACATAGAAGTAGAAGGAACACACATTTTGAGAAGGTGTTTCTATAGTTCCACAATGCTACTTTTTATTACTTTTCAGTGTAGATATTTATTGAAGTTTTGCAAGTAAACATTTGGAAAGCACCTTGTACATCTTTTCTGAAGCTGAGATGGTTTGGAGTTTTCAAGTGTTTCTCCAGCTGTGTACAGATATCATGCAAATCGGTACAGTAGAAAGGACAGATATTTTAAAATGTTTTGAAACTGTTCTCTTTATAATACACTCGAAATCTCAGTTAGTATTCTTTTCACAGAAGAGACTGTTTTGTTTCTTTAAGTATAATGACTGGGCTACAAAGTAGAGCAACATTTTCTGTGAAATGTATGTGAGACTTTCACTTGTTTGTTTGGGGGTTTTAGAATTACATAAATTTAAAAATGCTTTTCCTCTTTCTGTAGGAATAGATTTGGCTTTTATTGAAAATGGCTACATTTACCATACAAAATATGACACATCAGACAGAATTTTAACAGATTCCATTCAGAGAGCAGGTTGGTATTTTAAGAATTCAGTAATTTACCTAAAGAATAGTGTTGTAGTTGCTTTGTCATTTTGCTGTAAAACTGTTATCACAAGAAATTAATAATTTTAATGACACATTTAGTACATCTTTAGTACATGTTCTAAAGAACAAAGAATTAACTGAATATATATCTTTTAAATACAAAAGAAATATATATGATCTACTTGAGAATGTAAACTTTATCAACATCCAGTGATGTTAATTAGATTTCATGATTGCTTTCAAATCAGAGTTCAAATCATCTAACCTGAACACTGATACCTGATTGTTCAGCATTCTGTGTTCCTTTTCTCTCACTAAGCCTTATTGGTTGTGTTTCTCATCAGAAGCTTGTGGGTAAGTTGGTGACCCAGACTGATCTGCCAACAGAGGTTTCTCCTTTAGAACATGTCTCAGTCAAACTTACATGGTAGCACACAGACTGAGTAAACAGGATTTATTTTCTACAACAGGTTGTGCTCATAGATGGCTTTTTGACAGATTGAAGTAAAGAAAATACAGTATGACTTTTTAATTTCCCTGGAAAAGCTAACAGTCCTAAATACCTCTAGGATTTTGACCATTCCCTCTTTAAGCTTATAAAGAAGCCAGCTTAGAATGACCAACATGAATAAGAGTTTTAAATACTTTCTTGCAACAATGCAGCTACAAGACAGAAAGTAACTCTTCTAAATTTGTGTTGGGAAGACGATTTTACTGATCATGATGGTTATGTAGAACATCTTCTGCTAAACATAGTGCAGATAACAAAAAAAGACATTTCAGCACTTCTAAGGGTCAGCTAAAAGCAAAATAAAAGTCAAGAAGAATTGTTGTCGTTTGATTACATGTGTTTTGGCTGTGCTATGGGAAAGGAAAAGGTGATTAGTGCCTGTAGGCTACAAAGGAAAATAGCCACCTTGTCTTCTACCTTGCAGATGTGTAGGGAAAGAAAGGGAAGTAACTTGTACTCATTGAAACGTGGAGGTGTCACTTAGAGACCATGAGGAGAGGAGGAGTATTAGGAAACTATAAACTTTTCTATGGGTTAGCCTTGAAGTCCAGTGCTAAATATCAGAACTGAAGTACTTACAGGCTAAATACCTCACTTAATTGCAATGGTCTTTAAGTGCATGAAGCTTCCCAAATATCCTCATTTTAGTGACAGCTGTATAGATTACTCATGAAAATACTGTGCTGTGTGTACTGTCAGATACCACTTTGAGAATAATCAGTTGTATATGTCTTTGTTGAGAATATTTCTATACAATTTTTAAGAACAGTTCTAGTGAAAAAAATGCTGTGTACTAATTTACCCTGATGTAATTATGCTGTGTATCTGCTTTTTTAATAGGTGACAATATTCTAGCTGTCCTAAAATACCTAGCAACATCAGAAAAGTTGGCTAAATCTTTTGAGTATCGACATGGAAATGTTGTGTTCTTTGATATACTTGGTTTATTTGTCCTGGCTTATCCTGCTCGCATTGGCACAATCATGAACTATATTACAGCAGCAATTGCTTTTATTTACTTAAGCAAAAAAGTATTACAGTCAAAAACCAGAGGTAAGTCTAGCTTTTTTTAAAAAAACATTACTCTTTAACGAATAGCAGTTAGTAGATGAAAAAGTGTAGATGGAAAAGTGTTCAGGCCATTATGGCATCTTTTTAGCCAAGCTTCAGAAATAAATTTTAGCTGTGCAACATGCCACAGGAGTTGCTTTGTGTTTAAATCTCTCAACTGTGAATAATTACGGTGATGAAAGAATATGATAGGCCTAGATGTTTAGCATTTATGAATCACAATTTTGTGTCTTATCATTTCATGAAGATTAAAATTAAATCTTTTAGAAATCTGAACATTGAAAAAAATTACTTAGTATCTATTTTTTGCTTTGTTAGTTCAGACACGGTTTCAGAATCATTCTTTAACACCTGTCCATAGGCAGAAGTAAATAAGAAAACAACAAATGGGGAAAATGACAACAAAGCTTAATAAAGGGTGTAAACCAACTTAAATTTTCTAGTTAGACCTTTTCAGATACGTGTAGGAACATACCTGTTTAAAAAGAAAAAAATCAAAACACACCGACACCACCTCCCCCTCAAAATCCAGAAAACATTTTTGGAGCAAGAAAAAGTTACAAGAAAAGCAACTCCAGTTTTTCAATTGTTTTTGTTGTTTTTGAGACTTAAAAATGGTAGAGTGGTTCCCCTGATTCCTTAGTAATATTTTTACTATCAGGAACACAGTAATCTGCAAAATACACCAGTATTCTGGGAATAAATCTTGCAGTGGGGAAGACTGCAAAAAGACATGCAGAGAAGTAGACTGAGAGGTTTAGACCATGCTGTTAAGAAGTCTTCAGAGTGGACTCCTCATTCAGGTTTCTTTTGGTCATTAAAGCAATTAAACTATGGAGTAATTGAACTTTTGATGATAGTCTGCAGTAGAATACATGACTGTTGAATAAAACCTTTTTTTTCTTCATAGCTATTCATAACCTGAAGAAATTATTTACTGCATTTGGCTTGACACTGACGAGTTGGGTCTGCACACTGGTGGCCGTGCTTATTGTGGCAGTGTTTGTCTCTCTCATTGGACGGGCTCTTTCTTGGTACACCCATTTCTACGTTTCTGTGTCTCTCTATGGCAGTGCAGCTGCAGCTAAGCTTATTCTTGTGCATATGCTGGCCAAGAAGTTTTTCTACAAGGTAGGCTTGACTTTGCTGTTAATGTTGAAGGGCAGTGTAGTGTTTAAGCTGTTGAAGACTTAATTTTGGGGTTGATTAAAAAGATGAAAAAAGTTTGAGTATTTAAAATGTCACTAAAAATTGCTTCATCTAAACATAGGGATTGCTCTACTAAATCAGAGAGGTAAGAGCTTTGTGATTTAAGGTGGCCTTGACCTTAGGAGAAACTTCAGAAAAAAAGTAAAAGCCTAGTAGAATACAATATAAGGTACTGTTTCCTGCCCTGTCTGCACCTTCCTTCTTGTCATCATTTCAGTGATAAGAGACCAGAAGAACAGCTGGAGAATATTTTTGATACTTTTCAGTGTTCTTGATAATTACAGAATCTACACGTCTGCTCAAATGTTCTTTGAATCTTACGAGATTCTTGCCTCTGAATATACTTGGAATACAAGTTCCCTGTATTTAATAATACAGGGAATAATTTAATATTTTGGTACAGTACCTCCTTATGTCTCTTCCATTATTTTAATGCTTTATTTAATCTGATTTATCATTTGTATTTTGTTGCAAAACATGGAACTCCGGCTCTCTCTGTTCAAGTCTGTCCTTTTATTATGCGTGTCATTTTGGTGATGTCATTTATATTCATAAAACCCTAAGCAAATAATGTGATTTTTTTTTCAGATGGTTCTTGAAAGAGCTTTTTTCTTATATCTTGTTGGAATTTCTACCTCTGCCATGCTTTCTTCTAATACAGCAATCTGTGCTGCATAGAGCTTTCTAAATGAAGCTTTTGTAAAAATTTGAGTAGTCACTCTTCCCTTGAAGGCTCTGCAGAGAGATTTGGACAGGCTGGATCAATGGGCCGAGGCCAGCGGTGTGAGATTCAATAAAGCCAAGTGCTGGGTCCTGCCCTTGGGTCACAACAACCCCAGGCAGTGCTACAGGCTGGGAACAGAGTGGCTGGAAAGCTGACCAGCAGAAAAGGACCTGGGGGTGTTGGTTAAACAGCAGCTGAACATGATTCAGCAGTGTGCCCAGGTGGCCAAGAAGGCCAATGGCATCCTGGCCTGTATCAGTAGTGTGACCAGCAGGACCAGGGCAGTGATTGTCTCTCTGTACCCGCCACTGGTGAGGCTGCACCTCAAATCTTATGTTCAGTTTTGGTCCACTCGCTCCGAGAAGGACATTCTAGTGCTCCCTGTGAAAGGAGGTTGTAGCCAGGTGGGGGTCAGCCTCTTCTCTCAGGCAGCTACTGATAGAACAAGAGAAATGGACTCAAGGTGTGTGAGGGAAGGTTCAGGTTGGATATTAGGAGAAATTTCTATTGAAAGGATTATCAAGCACTGACACAGAGAAGTGGCTGAGTCACCTACCTGGAGGTGACTTGTAGATGTGGCACTTAAGAATATGATTTAGTGGTGGCCTTGGCTGTGCCAGGTTTAGGTTGGACTCAAATGATCTTAAAGGTATTTTCCAACCTAAAAAATTCTGTGACTATTCTGATTTATAGTTGTTTTGACCACAGCTGGAGATGGAACAGAGCTCTTGGTTGTCTGTGTTCTTTTCTACAATAGGTAAAGGTCATTTAGGCCCCTGCAAGATGGTGAGGATTTGGTGTGTGTTACCTTTCCATTACTCTAATTTGTCATGAACAGTCTGTCTAACTGTTCTGCCTAGAATTCTTTTTTTATGACTAACCAATGCAATTTAACTTGCATAATAATTTAATAATTGTAGCTGATAACATTCCTATTAGATGATGGTTTAATGGTTTTGTATTAAAAAAAAATAGGGCCTTGAGATATCTGGTAGATGACACTGTTCCAGGGCAGAAGTTGACTACTCAGGCATGCTAGGTTCGGGATTTAGGTGCAGTAATATTTAATCATTCATCTTGCTGTTACTTCTTGCTCATTTGTTTGAGCTTTGGACAAGGAGTTTGGAAAACCTTAGTTGTCAGCCAAATCCAACTTCATCCAAATGTTTCAAAAAGTTTTAAGAACTTAGTCAGATTTGATTGTATGAGAAGTTCTGGGTGGATCCATCGTGTCTTTCTCTGGAAGTGGTTTTTTTTTTTAGTTTTTTTGGGGAGGAGAAGTGTTAACTGGTACACGTATGTTACCAAATACATGTGCGTGGTGTTGACCCGTTGTGTAAAGGTGAGCCATTTATAAACTAGATGCAATGTTTTCTAGTCTTTTGGATGAGCTGGCTGGTAGTTTCACTATCTGTTCAGACATTCCAGGGTCTGGATTTATTTCATGCCTACTGATTGCCTGGTCATCAGATCAGCCACCTTGAAGTCACAAGCCTTGCATGCTATAGATTGCACTACACTGCACAGTTTATGCTGCCTCTGTAACTTGCATTTTACTTAGAGTTGCATAAAAATTTTGGAATCCTATCTCTTCCTTGTCTGTCAGAGGCAGTGCCTGATCATGGCTCAGCAACATGGGAATTAATAAGCTTTATGTTTTGAAATACATTTGGCAACTCATATGTTTCTTCACCCCCCTCCTATTTTTTTCCCTCACCCCAAAACTGAACTAGATGCTTTCAGATAACCATTGTTCATGCAAGCACTCCTTATTCCTACTAGCAGGTTTTCCAATTAGGAATCTTGCACTGCTAACGCTGTAGCATTGCCCATGTAACTTAAAAAAACCAAACCAACAAACAAAAAAAAACAAACCAAAAAACCTCACAAAATCAAAAAAACAAAGCAAACCACATTTTTGATGGTTAAACTTCCTTCTTTTTTTTGAAACTTATCTGATATTACCTCACCTATGCGTATCTTTTATTCAAAACAAGTAACATATTTTAAAAAGCAAGCTTCTGAAGTGACACCTTGTGGCATGACTTGTAAAGGCACCAGTACATTTGTGCACTAATATTAGTGGTCATATAAAAGCCTGTTAACAGCTGCTGTTCAAGAGCAAGTTTAGATCCTCAGGAGCTGTAGATAACTTTATCACACGGAAGTACTATGTAACTTTTTAATTTGCTGTGTTATTATGTTTTTTATTAAAAGGCCCTCTTTGCCTGTGTACTTGAAACACTAGCCCTGTGTATTCCTTGTATTGTCATTTGTACCTTCCCTTCCTTCTTCCACCCCAGCCCAGGTAATTTCTTTTTCAAGCTATGTCAGCAGATTTAAAAAAATATGCTCTCATGGGTAACTCTAAATGGTAAGAAAATGGTGAGATGATGCTTGTCAATACAGTCAACAGGAAATTGCCCAGGGAAAACAATTATATACAAGAAATAAGGATTTTTCTGTGTGTTCTGATGAGATGGGATCCATGGAACGTGCTCAATAATGAAGTGTATTTGCTTTTTGTGTTACAGAATATGAATGAGCAGTACCTGGGAGATATTTTTTTTGATGCTTCATTGATGATTTGGTCTATAGCATTAGCTGTGATGACTCAGATGGGCCTTTGTTCAGCATTCATTTGTACATTATGGGTAGCATTTCCTTTACTCACTAAGCTGATGATCCACAAGGAATTCCACCAAAAAGGTATAGTTCTGTGGGGCATAGGTTGTATTTCAAAACCTCTGCTCCTACTCTCCTATTCAAGCAAAAGAAAATCCAAATGTTGAATTTGAATAGTCAAATTAACTGTGTCACAATTTTGTAATGAGAAAAAGTGTTCTTGAACTAAAGACAGTTTTAAAGTGTGAGAAGCTTTTTTTTTTTAAAAATACACTGAAAAACATCCTGTGTCTCAGGCTAATAGAACAGTATGTGGAGACCTTTTTAAATTATTTTTGTAATACAAAAAAAGTTTTGTGATGGTTTTGAATGTTATATTGGCATTTGCTATACAAAATGAGATTTTCTTTCTATATCCATGTTGGGATGAGGACCAGTATTGTGATTGGGCCTTGCAGCAGTATATGGATATATCAGTAAAGCTGTATGTTTGTGGCCTTTTGAGCTTTTACTTCTTTTTGTCTTTTTTCTGTCCCCTGTAGGTGCCACAATGAAGTTTATTGTGATGTACATGCTGGGGATGTTTGTTCCCTATCTATATATGCTGTACCTTAGCTGGACTGTATTTGAAATGTTTACACCTGTCATGGGACGAAGTGGTTCAGAAATTCCACCAGATATGGTATTGGCAGGATTTATTGTGGTCTTCACTATGATACTGTCATCCTATTTTGTAAGTAGAATTTGTAAATGTTGTTTAAAACCTTTAAACTTTCTCTAGAGTTTAGAATAAGAAATTTTTCTTAATTAGTACTAGAAGTTAATGATAATTAGACAGTATCTTAAATCTTACAGGAAGGTTCTCCAAAACACGTCAAAGATTCCACATTTTGTGTTAGTCATTAAAGCAGGGCTTACATTGCTATATGATGATGTAGTAAAGAGTGGTGTAAAATATGAAATGTGATGGTGAATTTTGAGCAGGCATTCATTTAGATGTAGTTTGTGGCTGAACAATACATACACAACACTTCAAAAAGAATTCTCAGATTTGGGTTTTTTTGTGCTGCCATAGAACCTGGGAAGGTTCTAGTTTGGGGTTTTTTTGTTGGCAGGTGTTTTAAAAATTGGAAATTTTTGAAAGCTCCAGGATGTAACTCACTTTTTTCTCTTGTTTTTAAATACTGAGTTTACAAAGAAGTATCTTGTGTAGAGTGATACTTGCAACTATTTTTTTTAATGTACTTTCAGTTCCATAATTGAATTTTAGAGTTATACAAGTAGTGTCTTAAGTCTTGCAGTTTTATAACTGGGCTGTTTTTTTTCTTTCTCTAGGTTAACTTCATTTACCTTGTCAAAAGTACAAAAACGACGCTAGTAACTTTAACTACTGTGTTTGTAGTCACTCTCATTCTCGTTTGTAGTGGAATCTTCTTTCCTTACAGTTCAGATGCAGCTAATCCAAAACCTAAGCGAGTCTTTCTCCAGGTAAGAAAAGCTTTCCATGTCGTATTGCCTCTGTTGGTTGCAAGAGTGTTTTTTTCAAAGCTTAACTTCCCCCAGTTCTTCCACCCCAGGAAAAAAGTAACCTTTCCTTTCTTGCTTGATTTAAAAGCTCTAATGATTATTCCTGGATTTGAAAGAATTGCTGTTAAGTTTCTCTTATTCAGTCTAAGTGTTCGGTTCAACCCCGTCAGAAAAGCAGGGTATTTTAGGGGGTTTTAAGTAGGAGAATTGAGTGAACGAACAGTGGTAATTTAAAAAGTCATGGGAGGTGAGCTAATACATTCTGAATGTGTTTTCATGGTATGTTTTTGATCTGAGTAATTCTTGTATTTATATTCATAAATACTTAGATATGTTCTCAGTGCATACTGAAAATGCAGTAGACCTTAAGGATTGACACGGAGGATATTTCAGAGTTACCTCTGACTCTTGCAAATGCTGCAGGCTTCATCATATTGCTTTTGTTTGTTTTTTTCTTCTAGCACACAAGCAGAAGATTTCATGATCTAGATGGAAATGTGGTTAAAAGTGATGCTGGTATATGGATTAATGGATTTGATTATAATGGAATATCTCACATAACTCCCCATGTACCTGAAATTAATGACACTATTAGAACTCCATGTGAGGAGCAGGCTCCCTTCTGCGGCCTTCCTTGGATTCTGCCAGTGCATTTCATGTTCCGGTTGGTGTGAACTCTGCTTCACCTGAGCACTTAACTGCAAAGCACATTGGTTGTTTATGCAATCTTGCTTGTGTAAGGGAAGAAAAAGCAAGGCTAATCTCAGTCTAAAAGTAAATAATTCTTCCTCTTCAGAAGGCAGACTTCTGCTTAGGTGCAGTGTCTTCTGACAGAGTCTGCAAGAAATTGCTGGGTCTGCTGCAGGAGCTGTAGAAGTTGACTTGTGGAAAATGGATGTAAGCACCAATGGAAAAAAAGGTGAAGGGGTGCCTTCTGAAGGGCAGTTCACAGTAGGAGTATGTATGTCTCCTCCCTTCTTGCCCCCGTAACCCCAGCTGGCAGCAGAGGATGTTTAGAGTACCAGGTCTCCACAGAAGAAAACCAGCTGCTGTGACTATTTCTCATACCCCAAGGATCTTGTGAGTGAAAGTATAGCAGTTTGAAGGTGCAAATATTCTTTCTTATTTGTTTTGTAAATTAAGGTAATGAATGAATACACTGGTGACTGTTTTCCTATTAATACACCCTTTAAATATTTGTCTGGCCACAAGCTGCTGATTTTATCTGCCTTCTGCTAGAATCAGTAGCTTTTGAATATTTCATTTAGTAGCAGCACAGGCAGCTATACTATACAGTATATAGTTGGTTTCTGATGTTTAGTACCTCAGGGTGTTGCACTGAGAATAACTTGAAACTTTTTTTTTTCTCCGCAGGAAAAACTGGTATCTTCCTGCTCCAGAAATTTTGCCAAGAAGCCCCATTCAATTTAAAGTTCTGTCCAAGGAGCTGATGGCCTTGAACTCTGTGAGGTTAAGCTTTGAAGTATCTGGTGAGTGACTGAAGCTTCTGGTCTATGATTTGTGTTTATTTTTATGCCCATAATAGATCAGGCTTTGACTGCAGTGCTGCAGGTTTTAGTGCCATTCCCAAGATACTGAGCTTTGTGAGATTAACATGAATCAATTCAGCTTCCTAACACACTGGAACCTCTGGGTGTTGTGTTGCAGTTCTTATTTCTGGGAATAATGACCTTGTCTGTCATGAGTAAGTCTTGATTGTTTTACAGCAGGTCCTTTCTAAAAGTCCATTTTATAGCTCTCTATTAGTATATGTAGTGTGTATATACGCACACACACATACATATATACATATACACACACAACACACACATATATATACACACTATAGGACTGTATTATATTTATATTATATATTGTCTTATATTCTTCTGCTCCATCATCATCTCCTTTATCTCGATGATTATGAAAAATTGAAGCTTCTTCTGTAGAGAAGACAGTTGTATCATATTTTGAAAGACATGAGTAGTAACACACAGATAACATGCTATTATGTAGGAAAACAGGTGGTTATTCTGCTTCTATGTGCTGATACATCCAGACACGTATCTCTGTCTCTGCAGGCCCAAGTCACATGTCTCTGTACGTTCGGCCACACGAAGGGTCGGCTCTGTCCAGCTGGTCTCTCGGGGATGGCACACCGGTTGCTAGCATAGGAGGAGACTACTTTGTGTTTTACTCCCATGGGCTGCAGGCTGCACCCTGGCACTTCTGGGTAGAGCTGACGGTGAGTATGTGGCTGCTGGAAACCCAGTGATGCCTTGGTCTGCCCTCCTGTCACCATTGCTGCATTTCTGTGTGAAAAATGTCATAATGACTTCCTAAAGCTTCGCTGTATTTGATAGACCTTAATTCTAGTGTCCCCCCTTTAGTATGTCATCTTTATATGTCAGCTCACATGTATTTTCAATGAGTAGTCCACTAACTTGCCCAACAGCTAAGGGGAGAATATTTTCCTGGTCTTCATGGTCTTTGAGTAAATACTAAAATAATCTTTGAAAGTTCAGAAAGTCCCTTTTTCCTTCCTGCATCAGGCAGTCTAAACACTTGCCAAATAGTCCCTCTGAGGGTACTCAGTAAAGGCAGACAAAGTCTTGAGTGTTACAAGCTTTGCAAGGCTGATAGTGGCAAAGCTGTGCAGAGAAGGCTGTACATCCTCAGGCCTGACAGTAGAAGGATCAGTATAAATAGTGTGTTGGAGTCCATATCTTGATTTGTCAGCAAAACAGACAGATAGAAACACTGAAGTTGGAGCACTCAAAGTTGTGACACATGTCAGAGACACTGTGATCTAAATATCTAGTTGCCAGTTCATTTCAAATTGAACTCATCATGTAATCAGACTGATATGTTGCAGATAGGAAGTATTTTAACATACAGGACTAAGAACTGCAAGATGAAGTTTGTTGCATAGATACTGCCTGTAGAAAAGTGCATCTGGATTGACCTTACATTTAAAAGCCATAAACAATCGTAAAGGCTGTGTTGTCCTTTTCTCACTTTCAGACCCCAGAAAAGCATTCTGATGGAATAGTCTCCGTCGCCATAGCAGCACATTACTTTTTTGGGGAAGATCAAAAGTCACCTCAACTCTATGCCTTACTGGAGAGGTTTCCAAACTGGACGTTTTCTTCTGGTTGGTCCTGCACTTACGACCTTTTTGTCTTTTGACAGCAATGCTGCAGGGCAAGTAGGGCTATCTCTGATGCAGAATACAGTTGTGGCAAGCACTTTCTAACAAGATGCCAGAGACTTCAACAAGAATTTAAAGTACTTCAGCAACAAATGGTGTTTCTTTGGCAGTTTGACTATTTAAAGACTACTGCTTTCTTGGGGATATATATAATGGTACTTGTGTCAATGTGAATGCAGTTCACCTTGGTTCTTCCACTGAAGTGGCAGTTTGGCTAGTGGGTTTTTTAAAATGAAAACTGCACTTAGTGGCAGCTGTAATGGGAAGGCTTCATGGAATTATTCTGATGCTATGTGAAATATAAGTGTACTTCACCTATATATGGAGTATCACCTACCAATCCTATCCGTCCTATTCAACTCAGATCTTCAGCTAAAAAATGCTTGTTCCCTTGGTGGGGCGACAGAGGTGGCAAAGTCCTAAACATTACTTTTGTCACTGGATGAAGTCACTGAAAGCTAAGGTGCTTGTGCGGGTTGCATTCCCACTCCTTAGCAAATGCACAATGCAGAAAAATCAGTCCTATGATGGAATGTGGTAATTATCTATCTTGTCTGTCTATCTGTCTGTCTATCTCTCTATGTATCCATCCATCCATCCATCCATCCATCCATCCATCCATCCATCCATCCATCCATCCATCCAAATTACGTGTTTCTGTTAAAAAACTTAGTTCCTACCATTTTTTCTGTCTCTTCACTGTTACAACTTGAGTGGGTAAGTTCGACCTAATTATCATCTTGTGTTTTTGTTCCTATTGGGATCTTTCAGTCTCAGCACATGAGCATGTGACTTGCTCTTTCATATGTAAGTGCTCACTCCTTTATGTGGATGTCTTATAATTAATCTACTCTAAATTTAAAGTTACCTTCCAATTTATTAGAATTGGCTTATTTTGGTATCTCCTCTGGAGAGACTTTTGGTAGTGTGACATTATTGCACTTTGCTAATACCTTTAACTGTTTCTAAAAATAAGGTTTGCTTTCCATAAGGAAAAATACCTAAAAGAGTAATCTTAAAAAGATGTCTAATATTTCTGGATTTCTCTTATTTTCACAGGATGGGTTTTATGAATGACTATGAGTGATTTAGAGTATCTTCCGATTTTAATTGACAAGCTTTGAAATCAGAAGCTACTGACATCTTTTTTTTATACCAGGTTTTTTGGGTTTTTTGTTGTTAATAATTAATGGTAATTTCTGAAATTCAAAGAACTCTGTGTATCTGAAGAAACTTACTTTCTTTTTCCAAACTATATATAAAACATTTGGCTACATCAATACCACACTACAAATTTTACAGTGTTTTGTTCATTGCATGAGTATTACCTAATGTCATGCAAAGCAGATTTTGTGCATGCATCATCATTTCAAGTAAAAACATGATAGTACTGGTAAGTTTACAGGGCACATGAAAGAAAACTATGTGACGGTTAATTTGTGTGAGCTGTGATGGATGACAACTCTCTAGTTGGGTATTTTTCCTTCAAATTGTTCTGTAATTGTGCATGATAGTGGCAACAACCAGTTTCATTTGTTGCAAGGGACAATCACAAAGATTGTCAACTGACTCATGGACTAGAGTAAGAGGTTTAATTACTGTAATCGTAATGAACTGGTTATCACTAAAAACCAGTAGGTTTCTACATTAATGTGCATTAATCATCACTCACTTGATTGTATCCGATTTGAAACTACAATCCCTATATTATTTAAAAGTGCTATTAGTGATTTGAAAATCAGAGTTATGAACTAAAACTCTTGTGTCTTGAATCTCAACAAATGTCTTGTACTGTACTCTAGCTGATACACAGCTATTTAACGAAGGCTGCACTGGTACTTACTGTCTTCCTCAGTTTTCATTTTTGTGTTTTGCCTGATTTAAAGCTTTGAAATAGTGCTGTGTGAAGAATTCATACTGGGAGCCAAAAATACAAAAATGCCTGTTGGCAATTTCTGAAACTTCAGTGAAGCAATAACTTTTGCTATCTCAGGATTTAACCCTTCTTAAATAATTTAATTATGAGGTATGTCTGGTTTGTTGCAAATTTCTGTCTTTGTAAATAAAAGCAAAACGTGATTAGTGAAACTTGATTTTTAGCATGATTAAAGCCATATTTGAGTTGTTCTTATTCATTGCACTAATGTTTTATTTGAGCTTGGGGTAGAAATACTGCTAAGTAAGTGATGCTAGTGTTAAGACAGCTAGAGTTAGAGCTGTGTGGAAGATAAGCATGGCCAAGCAATGTCAGAATCATCTGAGTTGAGAAAAGTTAAAATCGGGGCCCTAATGGTTTTCTGGAGAGGAAGGTGGTTCTTTAAATAAGATATGGAAGAGTCACTGGTAGCAAAGCTAAGTATTCTTTGCAAAATTGATGGTTGAGAGTAGATTTATTGCTGATCACAAATAGAAAAACAGGATGGAAAATTTTGCTGGTTCTGTGTCCATCTGCTTCCTCATTGATTACAAGCAGTCTAATCTTCTGCTACTGTTTATTTCTCATAAAACAGTGTGAAGTGTAAAAAATGCAAGCAGATAATAATTTTAAGGATAGAAGGGCAGGGAGTAGAAAAATCATTTATTCTTAGTGGGGGCAGTAAACAGATGGTTGATTAGAATTTTCCTGTATTCATCTGAAACAATTTACATCCACAACCTCTTCTAAATTGCTTTTCTATTTTGTTCTTCTCTGACTTTTGGTGGCTTTGAAAATTTATTATGTTCTTTATTAACATACGTATTTCTGAAGCTCTTTGAATACTAAGGATTTTACCAATTTCAGCAAAGCATTTTATCAATTTAAGCAAAGGAGGCCTGTACATGTTGTGGTTATACAATCTAATGCATCATTAAAGTGTGTCGCCATACTTTCAAAGTTGCCTGTCAAGTAGAAGTATGCATCTGAAGAAAGAAAGTGTTGGGATAGGTGCAATGAACAGGAGAATTTCAGCTATCACACACTGAGTTCTGCAAGAGCAAGACCTGTCTTTACTGTCTGTTAATCTAGGCTGGGTTGCAAGCAAGCTGGAAAAACACTAATCAAACAAACAAGATCTAACAAGTCTATACAGAACGAATTGTAGCATATGGGACAGAGCTAATGAAGAGTTAGCCTGCATGGCAAAGCTGTTCAGTACTTTTTTCCCTTGAGGGCTAAACCTAATCTGATTTTTGGTAATTATCTGGAAGGAGCCTGCAGGGTGACCCACCTTAAACTTGATATGCAGTCTTGGTGGAGAAAGGTTTACTGATCTTGCACGTCTTCTTACCAATGTTCTGTCACAAAACTTGTCTTAGTATCAATTTACGTAACCACGACTTCCATTTTGAAAACAGAATATTCATTCTCAATATCCATGAAAATCTGTTCCAGTCTTGGAGGTCCTAGAATTGGTCCTAGAAATTAGCCAGGCTCCCTGTTCACTGTTGGGCTGCAGCATGCAATGCTTATGTCAGAGCTGTGGGTGCAGCTTGAGAACACGCCAAGTGTCAAGTTCTATCTTGAGCAGGAAGTACAGGCCAGTTTAGGAAGGTCCAGTCCTGCTACCTCTATTTCAAGCAGCGTGTCAAGAATCATGGGCCATTAACAAAAGGGTTTTTTTAAGAATTCACTTTCAGAAAGCTGCAAGAATCAGTCTTAAAAATGAGCAGTAGTTAATCTGAAAAGGAACAACAATGCATGCACTCTAAGACTGGAACAAACAGAAGTTTCAAAGCCAGTAGGTGTGCAGGTCAATTTAAGTAACCATGCATGGTTTATCTGGGGATGTTGTTTTTTTCTGTGGGGATGGGGTAGTCCTTGACTTTTTTTTTTAGGTGCCTCGTGTCTGTGGTTTGGCTGGCTTCAGTCTCCAGCTGTGGGCTTTTGTAGAGCCTTTTCTTAGCACTCTCCAGTAGGATGCTCCTTGAGTTTACTTAATTCAGGTGCTCCCTGATAAACAGAACACTTTGCAAGTTGTTATCTTTCAGAGTGGTATGAGAAAGCTCCTCAGTTTTCTGCGTTAAACACTGGAATGACTTATCCTATTCACAATAAGCTGACATTCATCTCACTGCCCACTAGAGTACTTCAACAGTTTTCAGCTCTAGGGCAGAAAACTAAAATGAGACAGTAACTTCTGTCTGTAGCTTTTGTTTTCTGTACTTGGGGGCTCTCTTTCTTTCGGTTGAAGCCAGCTTACCACGCTACACAATTTAACCATCGTCTTTTATAGTATCATTATTACCACAGACAACTTTTCCCTTCAGTTTGTAATGAAAAGAAGGACCTCCTGTGTACAGGTTCCAGCTAGATTATGAATTTTGGTATTTCTGTTTATTTAACAGTGTGTCTCAACCTGTAGTTTACAGATACTTCAGGTCTAAAACTATTTAAATTGGTTGCTTTGGACTAAAACACAGATGAAAAATTAGCTTACTTGGGTTGACAAATGTGATTGTGAAAAATTATATTCAGAAATGTGACTTGATTCAAGCAGTTTTGCAAGTATGCCCTACAGGAAAGTATCTTTTAAATTGGTAGCATGGAAGATTCAGTATTGTTGCTGTTATTCTGAGGCAATTAGTTTTGCATAGGATGAGAACCAGATCCAGAAAACTTGATGATACACAAATGGTGAAGGAGGTAATCCTACATCAGCCATGTAAACTGGATATGCAAAGCGAGAGGAGTGACAAGCCGGAATTCCATAAAGAAATGTTGACCTTCAACTGGTTAAATGGCCCATTTTTCTTACGTTTAGTAGTGGAAGTTTGTAGACGAAGAAACCTATTGTAGGTTAACCCTGGGTGGCTGCTGGGTGCCCACTAAACTGCTCTCTGACACCCTCCCCTCAGCAGGCCAGGAGAAAATAAGATGAGAAAACTCATGGGTTGAGACAGGGATGTTACTCACTGATTCCCATAACAGGCAAAATAAAATAAACTGGCCTTGGGAAAATTAACTTAATTTATTACGAATTAAAAATAAAGTAGGATAGCAACACATATAAAACCACTTTCCCCCAACCTCCTCTCTCTTCCGAGATCCAACTTCACTCTTCTACCTTCTCTCCCACAATGGTGCAGAAGGACGGGGGATGGTCACTTGAGGGTCAGGTCATGGTCAGCAACATTTTCCCCTCTGCTGCTTCCTTCCTCCTCACACTGTTACCCTACTCCAGCACGGGGTCCACTTCATGGGATAGATACAGTCTCTGATCAGCTGCTATCCATCCTCCTATGCTGGGCAGTCCTTCAGGAACTGACTATTCCAGCATTGGTCCCCCATGGGCAACAGTTCCTCCGAGAAACCTGGTCCCACATGGGCTCACAGTGCTGCTGCTTCCTTCAGGGCTCATGCATCCACCTGCTCTGTGTGAGGTCCTCCCCAGGCTGCAGTGTGGGTATCTGCTCCAGCATGTTCTAACATGGGTTGCAGGGGGACAGCCTGCCTCACCATGCTCTAAAAAGATGTAACTGCTGAACAGCAGCATAGTAGTAAGATGTTAATAGCAAGAGTGTTAGTATTAACATTTAATGCATGCATTAACTTGTACAGGCTGCAGGGAATGTCTGCTCCAGCACCTGGAGTACCTCCTCCTGCTCCTGTATAGGCCTAGCTC